CAACGACCATTTTGGACTTAACTAAGAAGACTTCCATGCACAAAACAAAACCTTGCAAACAACTCGAGTTCTATTCTTGGTTGATTTTGATTCCAAGGCCTATTAACTGCAGAAGTATCTCAATAAAACCACATAAAGACAAAACTGAAAATGACTACACATCACCATTCTTATGTGGAACAAGCAGTTTGAAATTTCTGAATTATTGACATTATTCTGTTGCCACTGAAGGAAAAATTTTTTTTTTTTTAAAAAAGTAATTGAAAGTTCAGTGAGATTCTCCAGAGCTAAGTTAGGAAAGCTGGTGCACTTTGTGTGAAAAGCACCTCTGACAGATAAATCAGGTAATCAACAACTTATTGCATTTCTTTGTTCCTGTGATGAGAGACAAGTGCCATGAGTGGGATTTGCTTTGTAAGACTCCTGGACAGGATGAAATTCCACAAGTAAAAAGTATGAGATGCAGAAACCTTTAACTATACTCACCTGCCTACTACCTTGCACCTTTCTTTACTTTGGTTTTCAGAACATATTTCAGCTGCAAGGCTTTTGACAGAGAACTTCCTCATACGAAGGGAATTTTATGCCTAGCACAACAAGAAGTTGATGCTTAAGGATACTTAATATATTAGCCATGGTCTAATACAAAAAATATTAATGTTGAGTCTGATGAGTTATGACAATGCACAGGTCAGTCCACACTAAAAATAATTGGTTAAAATAATAATTTATTTCCTGTCTTGTGGTTTCAACATCTGTGCAGGACGGTTGTGCCCTTTGCATGGTTGAAGATACACTGAAGTACACCTGAGAAGACCCTGTGAGTGTTAGGATCTAATCTGGCACAGAAACAGTATCATATTCATTGGGGGTGGGTGGTAGCTGTAAGAGTTTCTCAGTTTTTAAAGAGACTTTCATCATTATGGCAAGAGAAAACAGCCCTATACCTTTTGCTGAAAGTTGGCTTCAGAGTGCTGCCCAGTTGGCCGAGTCTCTGATGATGGCAGGACGCTGAACTGCCACAGGTTCTGACAGACCTTCTCAGGAGAATCAATATCCATTCTGAGTGGGCCAATGGAAAAATGAAAAACTGAAGATCTAGATCTCACACATAGTACAGGCAAGATAGCTACAGGGCTGAAATCACAAGAATGAGGGAAGACCTTATCACCCCAAAGGAAAGATAGTAATCCAGCTTCACTTTTCAGCACAATTATGTAAACCGGATGCTTTTAAGCCCCTGCTTTCCTCTGGATAATCACAGAGCAGCTGTAGCTAAACAAGGTGTCTCATTATAGAAACTTGTTTAAAAAAATTGCACTAATTATGTTTAAGATACAGCCCAGAACTCCAGGTTCATAACACTTAAAACCAAGCAAATTGGGATCTGATTACATGCACTATCACAGGAGTGACCTATTTGAACCACATCACTTTGATTAAAGAGCAGATATGCTCAAAGTAGATAATTTCTCATGAAGGATTCAGCACTCAAAAATGTATTTCTTATTTTGGTTGATTAGAATTTTGAGGTTTTCATCTTTGTGGCACATCACAAAGTTCACCTCCATTGAAAACCTATGGCAAAGCTCTATAGACAGCTTTATAGGAGCCCCAAAAGACACTGTACACCCAAAAGAAGTTCCAGTCCTTTCCTTTGGGTTCTAGTGATGAGCACACAGACCTGACAACTCAGACATTTCATGTGATCATGCCACAAAGTCAGCACGTTACCAGCCAATGAGAGAAACCTTACAGGAGTATAAAAAGCCTTCCCAACAAAATTTACACCTCTTTCATTAGGAGCTTGTTGCCCAGAACAGGAACAGATTTTCAAAGGTGCTACACATCTTGGTAGTTTCAGGGAAGAGAAAATCCAGCTGCTCAATAATGCTCATTTTTTATGTTTTTAAATACAAGAAAAACCAAGAAAGGTCCATCTAGAGAACACATTCAGGGACAAATTACACTGCTAGTTTTTCAATCAAGAAGCAACAGGAAATTCAGTGAAATTACAGAGATATATTCAAAGCTGAATTTGGCCTTGTAAACAGAAAAAATAGAGCTATTTCTGAACAAAATTATTCAATTGAAGCCCCACGAAATATAAGCTGTAATAGCATTCAGGATGCACTACTGAATGTGTTAAACAGCACTAGAACACTTACTCTAACAATTGTAAGCAAAAGAGCATTATTTATGTACATATTTAAGATGCTTTTGACATTTTTTATTACATTGTGGTTGGTATGCTAGTATGACTCTGCTCAGACTTCTGTCATACAGAAAGATGACACCAATTATTTAGATTTTAACTTTTTAATATCTAGAAAATTATTTCTGACATTAACCCAATTTTCCATGAGTTAATTGACACTTTCTAGCAGGGCTGCAGGATCTGTATCACTTCAAAGTTATAATTTACTACCTGTGTGATAACTCAAAATACAGCAAATGAAAACAAAATTGAGGACATAAGAAAAAAAGCAGTTTTCTACCACATACATGTTCTGAAATATAGAGAAATTCAATTTTCTAAGATGTGATTTTCATTATTTGGAAAAATGATAGTTCACTTTCAAAAGAATACCTTGGGAAAAAAAATAAAATTATTTGTAAAAATTAGCACTGTGGTAATTATATTACTTCAGTGAGCAAAAGACAAGTATATTCAATAACTAGGATGACAAATTAAAGTCAAGTTTCAAAGTTCTGTTCTAAATTATATTACAAATGAGCTATGGAAGCAACTATAAAAGCAGTACAATAGCAACAGTGAGGGTTAATTCAAGTTTCTGAAGAGCTTTGCAGTCTAAGTATAGCTTATGCTAGTAAAGCAAAAAATAAACTCTAGAAAGCATAATATGGTTACAATCAGAATTATAACCATGCTAGCTGATGGAATGTTAACAGATGAGCCATAAACACACACACAACTCCACCCATAGTAAATCCACCCTAATTACTGGTTCATGGACAAGAAAATTCAGATTAAGATTCTTTATAATAGTGAGGTAATATTTCTAATATCTACTACAGAAACAGCATACAGAAAGACAAGAATCATTGTTTAGATAGGATTTTTTTAAAAGAAGTTATTTAGATATTGACTAATCTAAATGACACCAGAAGATAGCTAAAACATTCTCATGAAATTTTGTGTATCTAGAGAGCTGTCTATGAAACAAGAAAGAAAAGATACTCAGTCTATGCTCTGCTTTCCATTTTAAGTGTGGAAAAACAAAGGCAAAAGGACATAAAAGAATGCAGATTTCAGTTATTTTGGCCAAATGCAGTACAGTGAAGATCAAATGTTTTGTTTAATCAGGTTTTGGGTTTGCTTATACAACCTTCAGACACTTCAGTTCTGTTTTCTACTTTCAACACAGCAAAGTTCAAAAAAGGTTGCACCAAAAGGTCACATCACAGAAACAGAGCAGAATGGAACTACTTGGGTGGTGGATGTGTGGTTACGTTGGGTCATGCAGAGCCGGTTCTAGACAACGTGGTCCTCCTGCCACGCCGTGCCAGCCAGGGAGCACTGCACCCACAGCTCTGCTGCACCCACAGGTCTGCTGCACCCACAGCCGTGCCAGCCAGGGAGCACTGCACCCACAGCTCTGCTGCACCCACAGGTCTGCTGCACCCACAGCCGTGCCAGCCAGGGAGCACTGCACCCACAGCTCTGCTGCACCACACCCGAGGCAAGAACACTGCAGGACCCAGCTCAGCCTTGCAGGAAGGGCTGAAACACCTCCCCGTAGGTCTGAGATAACCTGCACTCTGTCCTAGCTCATTCATAATGAGACAGTTAGCTATGCAGTACAATGTACTGGAAGAAGTCTCCTAGCTTAAGTCCAGCTCTCACAAAGGATCACAAACTGGTTTGGGGTTTGGCCTTGGGGAAGCCTGGCTGTGGCACTCGCTAGGGATAGTGCTGTGCACAACGATAGAAGAGTTTTGCTTCAGAGTTTCTATGGCCACAAGCAGCAAATCTTTTGATGTTATGAGCACCACCATCTTCACTACTGGAAAGAAGACAATGCAACAAGTTTCCCTCCCTTTCTTTAAAAAGAAGAGACAGTAAAGAAACTGATGTTTAGGTGCAGATCTCCCAAACACTGGAAACTGTCCCTCTCGGCATTTAAAGCACTACGGCCAGAAATTAAGAAATCCAGGCTCTGCTCAGCTAGTTTCAAACACAACTATTTGATGAGAAGAGCCCAAAATTATGAAATAAAGAATAGATTCTTGAAATTAAATATATGTCCAAGTCTCCAGCAGTTAGCATGACTTCCAACAAGAACACAAAGTGATCAGCTTAGAAAACAACAACGTTTTCTTTGTTTACTGGAAGTTTCCCATACTAGCCAGAAGTAAGATAAAACTTGCAGTATTTTTTTTTCCTGTCCTTGTTTATATGGTAAAGGTCATGTTATTTTAAGGAATCTCAGCCCTTCATTAGATGTAGCAGACTATGTATTAGTCTGGGGAGAGCTGAGGTCTGGTCATTTCCTCTTTGCAACCTGTTGTCTCTACTGACCCACAGTGATTTGTGGCAAAGCCAATAGAAAATTACAAATCTGTAGTATTTCCAGATCGTCATGATCATTTAGATTGTTCTTGTAGATTCACAAGATAACAACACCAAAATTTAGAAGCAAAAGATTCCAGTTTATAACTGATGTGGAAGTCAGGTAACCCTTAAAAGAAAAAGGTTTCTCTGTCAGGTAAAAACCAGTCTAGTCATCATGCTGGCTTTAAAGTCATCCAGTTTCAGCAAACACCTTTGATCTATTTCAGTGTTCTGTTACTAATCTACTGCTGATGAAGAAAAATGCAAAATGCCACAATGACAATGAACAACAGAACCTTGTCCTAACTAGACACAGACACATCACCAACTACAGCAGGTCATGGGAAAACTAAATCAGTTCTCAATCTCATAACACAAAATCACGAATTCCAAGAGCAAAACCAACCTCACACTTTCTGCTTACCTGATACGGAACAATACTCCCATGAGCGGTACCCCAGCGTCTTGCTTCCATTTTGCAATTAAGGTAATTAGCTGCTACATGAGTGAGACATGCAACCTGGAAATGGAGAAAAAGAAAAGTATTCAGGAAAGCTGAAACTCCATTGATAACTTCCCTGAGATGTCTGTGTATTTATATGTCCTTCAGCTATGGAAGTTAAAATAATTACAACACAAAAGTATCTTTTGTATATTACATATTATGTACCCTTTTTTTCAACACAAAAAAATCTCAGGCTACAGCTGTATCACAGAAGTGCTTGAATAAGTACAACTCAAAAAATAATATGTCCTGCAACACCAGTAATGCTGGACAAATCTAGCATTCAACTAACCTAAGAGATATGACAGTATTACCCTGAGTATTTTGCAGAATGGTCAACTGCAGCAAAGAAAAAAAATCTGTTGTCTTGTCCAAAGTCTAGTGGGAAGCATGATGGATTTGTGGGAAAGAACTCACCATTTCCTGAACCTCAATCCCATGCTTAAATCACAAAGGCTTTTTCTTAGTTACATGATTATCTTTCTGTTTTCTCCTATGCTTCTCATTTTACATGTCTAAGCTACGGAAAATATTTCTGAATTCTTCAGCTCCCCACATGCTCTGCAATATTAATTAAGTGGTAGGCCTTGATAAATCATCTGCCATTTGAAGATAAGGAGAGATTTATCAAGTTATTAGTCAGACAGACAAAACTGGAAAAAGATTAATTTTGTGAAAAATATGGCATGCTAATTTAGTAACCATAATTTGAAGGGATAAATATATACTTTGTAAGCACAAATATATCTCAGGTAAAATAAATGTATATTTATAATACACTAAAGCATGAATATCAGTGGTTCTGTTATAATCTATGGCAGATTCTGCATTCTTATTTCTTCAAGAGAACACAGCCTGGACTATATCTGAAGTGAAGTAATGCAAAAAAGCATCACAGTCAGCATGCCAGGTTATCACTAATTCATGAAACACAACATATTTGTTTTACTCTGTTAACTAGTTGTGCCAGCAAGTGCAACTGCTTGCCTAAACAATAGGCCATGTGATGATTTTTTTTCCAATAATATTATTTTCTACATAGTTCTCCCCTAGATGGAAGAAATTTGCTATGATGACCTAAGTGTTTACACTATTCTGTGCCTAGTAATCAGTCTAATCTACATCAAAACAAGGAGTAATTAATTCAGAGTCCACCGTTCACATTACAATATGTGAATTATATCAGAATTCCTAGAAAAGGAATCCCATTTCTTTTTCTTCTCCATTCTCCATATATGCTGAAAAGGCAATGTGAAAGTGTCACTATCACATTTAAAACAAATATCTAACTGTAAATTATGGATACTGTGATTTAGCCCAGCAGAAAACCCAAGAAAACATACAGCAAATAAGAATTTAACTGCTGCCAAAAACTACATCCATATACACTAACTAGAAATACAATGCCCTATTCCTGACTACTATTGGAAAACACTTCGTAGTTGGATTTCAGCTGCAGTTTATTATAGCCCAGTGTCACTTATTTCAGCTAAAATGTTGAACAATGTCCAGCCAGTCCTTCAGTCCCCAGAAAAACCTCAGCAGTTAAGGCAATGGACCACAGAAGGGAGTTGCTCTTCTCATTTGCAACTTTCCTCGGCAACACCACATGAAACACACTTATTACAGAGTTCACTGAGTCACAAAAGTGTGTTATTTATTAATAACAGATATCCCAGGCCCATCGTTCCTCTCAATTCTCAATTTGAGGTTACACTCCTTTAGTGTTTTTTTTAACCACACCAAATGGCTATGCAATGATGATGAACTATTTATCATTAGATATTCTTCTGTATTTGTGTGTAACTCTACGTAGCTGCTGTATTCCACTCAGATTTCACTGCCAGGTGAGATACATCCACCACAACAGGCTTTGACTTTTAGAGATATAAGAATGCCCTCTGTGACACATGCATTTAATTTTTCACACTTCTGGAAGGAAATGCCACACCAAGCTAACCTCTGGGAAGGACTTAGTGAATTAAAACCTAGTGAAACAGGAATCTTAAAACACTGATATTTAATTTATTGGAGCCAAGATTACATACGCATCTAGACTTCTCCATAGGAAAAAAAGAATTAAAACATAATACTCTCTAGGCATTGGAATTTCACCACTAAAGCCTCTGCTTAAAGATGTTCTTTCAGTAGTGATAGACAGCAAATGCCAAGGAAGTCAGAAGTTTAGTAAAGATGGCAATTTTGGAACTAAAAGTTGCTTAGACTGTATCAAGGCCTCAGTTCGACATGATACTTTGAAGAAAAATTTCAATTTCAGCCAATGTACTTATCACTTGCTTGAATGTATATCCTGATGAAACTGGTTTACTTGTTCTTTGTTCAACAAATCATGAAGAAAAATGGCTTTTAGTTCCCTCTGACATCCTTCTCTGAGTTGGGTACCTTGTTCACGGTCAAATCAGCCAGCCAAAAAGAAACAGTAATAGTATCATACAAATAAACTTATACTGACCACATCAAAGTCAATATCTCAGTTCTTTGTGTTTCATGTATAAACACACTTAGCTGAGTGAACTTTATGGCCTTTCACACCTTTCATAATAACTCTGATTACTTCAGCAGCCTTAAAAGATGACTTTACTTCTACAGACCCATGAAACTGCCAAGAATAGCCCTGGGACTACTCTGCTTTTCCCTTCCTTTCTGTCTCAGTTCATTCTCTCTGGTCTCTACAAAGATTTACTCTCACTAAAATGTGACAAAAAAACCAACTTTCAGCACATACATTTTATATCTTTAGTAAATACAAAGAGTTTATCTATAATCATAGCATCATTTAGGTTGGAAGGGACTTTCAAGATCATCACGTCAAACTATTGAGCCATTAGGGCTCCAAAGTCCTCTGCTAAAACAGATCAAAATCTGTCAGGGTTGGAAGGGACCACAAGGGTCACCCAGGTCCAACCCCTCTGCCATGAGCAGGGACACCTCCCACTAGATCAGGCTGCCCAGAGCCTCATCCAGCCTGGCCTTAAAGACCCCCAGGGATGGGGCCTCAACCACCTCCCTGGGCAACCCATTCCAGGGTCTCACCACTCTCATGGGGAAGAACTTCTTCCTCACATCCAGCCTGAATCTGCCCACTTCCAGCTTTGCCCCGTTCCACCTAGTCCTGTTGTTACTCCATATCCTGAAAAGTCCCTCCCCAGCTTTCTTGTAGGCCCCCCTAAGATACTGGAAGGCCACAATACGGTCACCTCGGAGCCTTCTCTTCTCCAGACTGAACAGCCCCAACTCTCTCTGTCTGTCCTCACAGCAGAGCTGCTCCAGCCCTCGGATCATTCTCGTGGCCCTTCTCTGGACACGCTCCAGCAGGTCCACGTCCCTCTTGTAATGGGGGCTCCAGAACTGGATGCAGTACTCCAGGTGGGATCTACCTAGACCTTACTGTTGCTAAGCAAACTGCTGAACTGTAAGTATAAAAAAAGATTTTCCAACTGAACATGTCTACAGACATATCCTAGAAAAAAAAAATGTTTATAACAAATTAAGACTATTTCTCCAAATTCCCCTGTAATTCAAGACTCAATTTAGGACCTCACTGCTAGAGGCACTTTGTGCGGTAGGAATAACTATAGTACAATCAATCTCTCCAAGTTTGGGTACATCTGCATTACATATTCAGCTAAGTATTTTTAAATCTATATTTAAAACTGCTTTCCTGAAACCTTATAGACCCATTTCTTTTCTCCTTTAATTAAGAACTAATCCTTAAAAGTAACCTTTGGACATGTAACATTAAAGCAGATGTAATACCATGATACAGACATCTCTGTATTCCTTTGCTTGCAGAGACAGATCTATGCACTGTAAATATGTATTATCAAATATCTACAGATAAGCATTTCTTTATTTCACATCAGTAAAGGGAACACACACTTCAACATTCCTTTCTGATATTACTGCTGACGGCCAAATCACATATTTGCACTACATACTTACTTAAACCAGAACAAAAAGAGAGCTGCATTAAGGTTTGAAAAGTTACACTCAGCTTATGATGGAATCAGACAGATGGGAAACAAGATATTAAAAGCCACAAGGTGAGCAGACAAAGAAAAGAGACAGAATTTCAAAAGATTTTTTTCAAGATAGCACATCAAACAATTTATTACAATGAGTTCACAGAGTCAATCAATCATTTACATGCAACCTCAACAAGTGTATATGAATAACAAAAGACAGGTAACTGGAAAGAAGAGAAAATAACATTTTAATTATATTCTTTACTTTCTTCTCCTTCCAATTTTGTGTCTGCTTTCTTGCTACGTATCTTAACAAAGCTTTGACTTTTAGCCAAGTTATTTTTTTTTTCTCATTTACTTTTTTCACCTCATTTACTTTTTCTTCAAGTAGGCATGTATACTGTCTTTTAGGAACTTTGAGTTACAGGCATTTTACAGCAGCACAGGTAACTCATATTATGCTATACTACTGAAGTAGTCTCCCAAATATTAATTTATAACTTCATTGAAAAAATCATCCTGCAAACATTCAGTGCCTTCTGTTGTGCAAAAGCCAATTATCTTTCACCTACACCTTCCCCATACTGCTGGTGACCTGAAAAAGAGATCTGTACATGAGAAAAATTTGAATATAAGACCACAACCTGCATTTGATGTCCACTAGCAAAGGTCTCTTAAAATCACTGATCCTATGCTGGAATTTACCTAATGACCAATTTTACTTTTTACACTTTCTCCTCTTTTCATGTTGCAATAAATAGACACTAATAAATTGACATTTGAGTTGGATTAATTCTGCTTTTGCAGTTACCCCCCATCTCCTTTCTTACTTGTATGCTTCTATTGAAGCTGCTTCCATGGACATGTGCAAGCTCTTGTTTTGAGAATTTTTCATTAAAAAAACCCAGATACACACACCCCAAAACAAATAGCCTTTACCCCTACCAAGAAAACCCCACTCTTCCAGCAAGTCTGATTAAGTTTAGCCACAAGGCTTAGTAAGAGTGGAAATAAGTTCTTACTGGTCTT